TAAGTCAAAATAACAAGTCTTGCAATTCTCGGCATTCCTCGCGTGAGTTTATAGTGGGCTTGAGTGACTTGATGAACAATGCCTCTAAAAGGCATAAATTGACGGGGTCTCTGTCGCGTGCGATTACTCGTGTCTTAATTTGCATGGTGTTCGAGCAAGACCTTAAATGCGATGCGACTGAGGATTTGGATGATGATAGGTGTTCTTTGATTCTGTCATGAAGATGTCTTATCGTGCTGCCGATGTACTTGGATTCGCATGTAGTGCATGTTATCTCGTAGACAACTCCACGCTTGAAGCATAAGCCCGATGTTGCTAGAGGGCATTTGTCGACTTTACAAGTGTAGCACTCTATAGGGTGTTTAAGAACATTACGTATTGTATGCGATCTGTGGCAAATCCTCACATTGAGGCCTTCGTTGCTGAAAATAATCCTGAGATGTTTGTTAAAGCCGTCAGAGACGTATGGAATGTTGAGGTATGACCAGTTTAAGCGATCTCCGTCGTTGGTGCTACGTTTTTCACTACGGCTCCGGGCGGCGTCTAGTTTGGTTCGTTCTATGAAGCTTGTGGGGTATCCGTTCGTTTTAAGCAATTCATCAAATTCAAGGTCATTATACAAGCTTTTAATGATGAATGTTGTATCAGTCCCAACTAACAAATAACGGATTTGAGAACGTATATATGGTCATTTTCAATTTTAAAGTTTCATCATGGAGCTCTGGCGAACATAAAACATCCAGGATACTTTGCATTCTTTGCCGAATTTGTTATATTGAGTTCCATCTTTCAAGTACTGCACTTTGGAAATAAGGTAGGACCACATCTCATGGTGATCATTGAACTCTTCCTTCTACGCATGCATTGAGTGATGAATGGTTGTTTAATTGATCATATCAACCATTTTTTTTTAGATGAAAACAATTTCCTTTTCGACCTTTAAACTTGCAAACTATTGTCTTGGGACAAGTTGACCTGTATTAGTGCAAGCAATTCTAAAGGAGGAAGACAGTCAAGACCGTATGTTCTTCACTGTGAAAAATATAGACCAAAAGACCGTTTTGTGCAACGACAGGCTCCCATTCCTGTGATGAGAACGCACAATGTACTAACAACATGGGTTCCTACAACTGTGGTTTCAACGGTGATGGAGGGGCGTGTTCAGGTATGGATTGCTTAATAACGTCATAAGGTATTTTAAGGTGTTGTTTCTATCGTAATAAATAGCGCTTCGCGCGTATTTTTAAACTCCAACTACGTCGTAAAATTTCGATTCGGATGCATTCACATTTTCACAGAAGTAACAGTGGTTATCGATAATTCTTGTTGATAAATTTATTTGCAAAAAAGCGAAGCCATTTGGATAAACGATGCAAAACAGAAACACCTTCATTTTTCTTCAAAGTTAACTTTCTCGAAACTCATCGCAGAGATTGTAATAATATTTTCAGAATTATTTCAGTCTTAATAACATACTGACGAAGTTTGAATAAAATCTTGACCTAAATATATATATGGTCATCCAATTGCTGCCTATGGGATACAAGTATACGTATGCTTAACTGTGGAGCATTTTATGTGTATGAGTTTAAGCCCCCTGATGATGGCTGCTCCCTTCGCTACTGTGGAACAAATTAGGARCACGTAGTCATCATAACCTGTATTCAAGACCAAAGTTTTAACAAACTCGTCTTTGTAGCATAGTAATCATGTACCAAAGAAGTTATATCAGAATTGTGTGTAACAGAGGTAAGACTGATAAATTGGATAGCTTGAGCGTCATTGTCCGATTTCATATTGTGGGACACTGGGTACAAGTTCCTTAATTCGCACGATGGTGAGATAAGACTTATATAGAACGAAAGATAGCACTGTAAATAAGAAGCTTACAAAGTTTAGTGTTAATCGGTTCAAACGTAAACGATTGGCAGCTTTTCAGAAATTCTAGATTTTACAAAAAAATGTAAATGGGAATTTAGAAAAATCCGGACGCAGCGTCTGGCATTCCATACATTTCTTCCGAGATCCTTGTGTTTTTGAAAGACTGTAACTGGTTTAATATTGACCTGATCGACGCCARATTCAGAMAATTAGTATTTCTCAATACGATCGTTCGTTCTATATAAGTCTTATCTCACCATCGAGCGAATTAAGGGACTTGTACCCAGTCTCCCACGGTATGAAATCAGTCAATTTGTCCTGTCTATAGAACTAGAGTGCATGTTTCATCGGGACATATTCATATCCGAATCTCAGGTGATATTTCGAAATTATACAGTTGATGGAATAGAATCTKGTTTGCCTAGCCTGTCTACATCAGTAAATTCCTAGCAATTTTATTCAGCAAGTCCAGAGAAGCGTAAGGTTCAGATTTACCTATATTGCATCTGATATGATATATATCAGCAATCGTAGAGCTTTAAAAAAAGACTATAACTTTATAAGATATACAGCCGTTGTAAAGTGCACTTAATCACTTATTTGGAATAATTTTCGAATGATTCAAGACGTAATTGGCACTTCTGGGAAAAACAATATATATTTGGAGAAATCCCATATTTTTCACTACATCATAACATTGTGCAATCAAAAACTTCGCAAAGGTCGTTTCTTTTTTTCTTTTTTCTTTACATTTTGTAAATTGACCAAAGTTAGACGTCGGACGTCGTTTCATTCTAAGAGACTGTACCGAGAGTGACATACACCTAAGAATTGATCCGCATGCATGAAGTCTGGCGGGAACTACGCGCAATAGCGAATCCAACCATGACCATGACCCTCCACCATGACTCTCCACAGGGATCCATGAGGCTTTTATTGGCTACTTTGGAGCGTTGTAAAAAAAACAGGGATTTATCCAAATCGATGTCTAAAATTATACGAAAATTGCTTCAATTAAGTGATTAAGAGCACTTTAAGATATAGCATTAACATTTGAAAAAATAAACTTTATGGCTATTTTGTATTAGTGTGTATTATAGAATTACAGCCTTTATTCGTGAAAATAGTTATTGTTTGA